AAAAAAAAAAAAAAAAAAAAAAAAAAAAAAAAAAAAAAAAAAAAAAAAAAAAAAAAAACTACTATAGAATTCTCATTTCAAATACTCAATAGGAAAGTGAACTATATTAAGTCATTCCCACCTGCAATCTTAGATAAGCAAAGACTGGAGTCTCCAGAAGGCGAATCAGTTTATCCAGCTGAACTAAAAATTTCACATTAATATCTTCCTCCACCAAAGACTGAATCACTGCACTTGCATGCTGGTATGTCTGTGATGAAAAAATAAATAAATAATTTAAACAGTTAGATATTGAGATATAGTTTGATACAGAACTGAAGTAACATTGAAACGTTACCTGTGCTAATAAGCAAAGACTTAAAATAGCCATCGGGGAATGACACCATGATGCATATAAAGAAACAAATAGGTCCTTCCCAGCTGCATGCACCAATGATTTCTTTAAAAGATCTCGAAGATCAGATAACTCAGAGGAAGTCAGCAAAATCAAATTGAGTGCCTGAAAAAGAAACAACGAGTAAACTCACAGAAAGATGGCCAACTTTTTTTTATATCCATGAGTGTCCGAGTCCGCTTGCGTGCACAGGACAACTGCCTGACCCTACTACATTTGGTTGTCATGGTAACTCGCAGGATATTGAATCCTAGGTAGGTGGTCACCAATGGCTTGACCAATTCCCTACAAGTCCTTTATATTATTTACATGCTCTTTTTAACCACTAGGTTAACCCGTGATAGTGGAAAGGTGGTTGACTTTGTAACCAAAAATACAACGAATTAGAGAAAAAGAAATTAAGTAAAGAAGGGGGACACAATTGAAATTCAATAACTAGTGTTTCAACGTTAGTACTTTAGGATTGTGAACTTGTGAGGAAAAAGAATAAAATTCAGCACCTTTGAACTGCTATTAGAGTGTTCGATATAAAGTGCTCATAATAAAAGCATATTTGAAACTACCCTCTAGTTTAAGATATAATTGTTATGCTACCATTTCGTATCGTGAAGAACAACAAGCAATGTAGAAAATTCCTAAATAATCACACTGTCCACATTGTCCAAATGGGCATCATGTTATAGACATGATAGGCGGAAAACTCACCCTAATACAAGCCACATCATCCAACCTCCCCACTTACTACATGTCTCTATTTGCAATGCCACAAAAAGTGGCTTCGGATATAGAAAGATTATTCATAAAGTACTTGGGAAAAGATGACCCACAACTTGTTCGATGGAATATTATAAATCTCCCAATAGAAAAGGGAGGTCTCGGTCTTTTCTCAATAAAGAAGAATAAAACTCCCTTCGACAAATGGATATGGAGATATCATCACGAAAAAACGCATTGTGGAGAAATCTTATAAAGGCTAAATATACTCCTACATCAAACAAAAAATCAACCATCTCCATCTTCTGCAAAAGGCCTTGGAAGTACATAAAGAAATATCAGAACTTCATCACTAACCGAACTTGCCATAGGGTGGGTGATGGAGGAAGCACATCATTTTGGACCAACCCATGGTTGACGGGGTCTTCTCTACAAAATCCTAGATGATGGACATAGCAGAAAAAGTAGAAGAAATAAATCCCACACTAGTAAAGACAATATGGTAAGGACATCACCCTAAAAAGGTAGTATGGTAAGGACATCACCCTAAAAAGGTGAAGTTCTTCATTTGCGAAATAGCACATAAAGCCATTAGCACAAGTGAAAATCTTCAAAAAAGAATGCTTACATCACTCTTTCTCCAAATTGGTGTCTATCCAAAATAGGAAACGAATCACAAAGCCACTTATTTATGCAATGCACATACGCTTAGAATTTCTGGACAAGGATTCTCAATATATTTGGATGGCATCTCACGTTTCCTAGGGAGATAAAGGATCAATTGGACATGGCTTTAATGTATCACCCTTTCAAGAATGCAAAAGCACTATTATGAAAAAACCTCATCGTGGCTTTCTTTTGAAATCTATTGAAAGAAAAAAAATCAAAGAATATTCGTAGGAATGACACAAACTTATACAAAACTTTTCTAAAATGTTGTTTACCAAGCTATATCTTGATGTAATCTAATATTTTTTAATTGGGAAGGTTTTTGTAAACATTATGGATATTACTATCTCTTTTCTAAATTTCAATCACCAATGAAATTGTCTCTTCGAAAAAAAGGAAAAAAGGAAAAAAAAAACTATTGTGTTCCCAAACACGCCCCATTATTAGGCAATTAAAATAAAAGTTATCTAAACTTCGAAATTTTTAATTGATCGCAATAGATGTTTATTGTCTTATTACATCAGCAATTCTTTTCGTCAGCTACCTATGCAAGGTTTATAAATAACACAAAAATAAATTACAGATGAGATAGCAACCTGAACCATAATAGAAGCGAAATCCAGATCTGATTCTCCTTCCAATATTGTAGAAAGCTCACGGTAGACCCGTTCAGCATTTAAAAGTACACATAAGCGGCGTATTATCAATGCACCACGCCTAAGAAAGAAATGAAATAACATATGTTTTGTAGATCATAAATCCAATATCAATAGATATCATATTTTTGTGTACAACAACAAATAAGCAGAGGAGAGGAAAAGAAAACTCACTTCTCCAGAAGAGAATTATTGATCCGAAAATTCTGCACTAGGAAGACAACAAGTTGGCGAAAATGTTGCTGATCTTTTGCTATGCAAGCATGAACATCAAGAACAAGGAGAACTACCTGGGACAGAATCCAATGTAAAACTGTAAGTTAACAGCAGAAACAAGGAATGAAAATAATTAGCAATAAAAAATATGAACAAAACGGCCAAAAAATAACGAGTAAATTCAGTATTAGCAGCACATCAAATTCTTCATTAACTTTAATCTTTCATGGTAACAATCGTTCAAAATCTGTTAACGTAAACAATAATTGGGACTGATACTGAAGCTTGAAAGAAAGATATTAAAAGCTGTTCTTTAAAAAAAAAAATATTTGCGAGTATTTGAGCTAGCTTACGTGCACCCCGACTATTTTCAAAGGACGACTATCTGACCCTATTATATTTGGTTGCGAAGTAACTCATATGATATTAAATACTAAATAAATGATATCATGGCTTGAACTCATTCTCTTTAACTATTTTATTGTTTATATGGTCATTCTCGAGGAAAACATTAAAAGCTAGTGAACCCAGTTGATTCGTCCTCTTCATTAAAAGTAACTATAATAAAAACATAAACAAAAATCCTTGTACAAAACTTTTAACTTTTTTTTTTTATATAAAAAGCAGACATGTATTTGCATCGTCTTGACCTCCAAGCAAGGTTAAATTATTATTTCTCTCGAGCTCCAAGCAAGTCTGCATTCATAAGTGTTGGGACACCTTGATTATCTGTTTAAATTATTTTTCTCTTAATTATTTTTATTAACATTTTCTAAAATAAAGTATGAACACAACACTAAAGATTTAAATAATATAGAGACACATTATAGCCCGTTAACCAAAATAAAAATAATAATAATAACAGATGTATAATCAAGCAATCAAAAGATGATGACATGTCTACAAATTAGAATTAGAATTGCGATCACAAACTAACATGCAAAATCACTAAATTTTTGTTGAAGAGAACATGAAATCAAATCATGAGAAGAAATTATTACCTTGTCAGAAGAATCAGATAGGGCTTGAAGAAGGCTGTCAAGTATATCATTCAAATAGATCAAGACCTGTCCAAAAAGGAATGAAGATTAACCACACATAAGAATGCACCTAATATGTAGAACAAGAGAAGTGAGACAGACTGATAATCATCCCCAATAATTCATATTTCTGACAATTTGTGTTCAGCCCTGAAGCTACCTCAGACTGACGAGTAGTACGAAAAAGACTGGAGATGAGCTTTGTCTAAAGAAGGAAAAAGTATTGTATCATCAGCAAATTGGAGGTGAGTGATGGAGATTTTTATGTGGATTCTTTCCAACCTGAAAACCTTCAACCAATCCTTTTTGTTTTGTCAATAAGAGCATCCTACAATGCCCAATATAAAGGAGGAGAAGGATCTCCTCAACGAAGGCCTCTCCTCGAATTTTAACTCTAGGCTTACCATTGATAATAATGGAGAAATTCATTGATTGACATGCACCCTCTATTCCATTTCCTCCAAGTTTAACCAAAGCCATTAGCTCAAAGGATGTCATCAAAAGAGTCCCAATCCGCCATATCAGATGTCATCTCTAAATCAAGTTTTGTGACCACTCCACTCTTTTTCCTTTTATTTAACTCATCAATGATCTCGTTGGTAATAAGGGAGGCATCAAACATTTGACAGTTAGCCACATGTTTGATGATAAAGAGTGGGTGAATTCTGTATCTTCAATGATTTATTGTAATTAAACGAGGATTGTAAATTCTGTATCTCCCTTACTCGTTTGATTTTCTTCTTTGAAGCTGTGGAGGTCTTTTTCTTGTTAGGAACATTGGGACCATACTTCATTGAAACACATGGAAACATTATTCGAAGTCTATTAAGAGCCACTCAATTCCATTTCTGATAGATTCCTTTTATGAAACTAAATAATCCCACAATGATATATTGCAACCGCTACCAACCTGCATTTGGGAGATAACCTTGAGTTCTTTAGCAAATCAACCATTGTCGCCATTTCAAACAATGGGACTCAATGACTTATTATCACTAGGAAATCACTACACCCACTAAGACCAGATCATCAAACCATAAAGACAACTGCTACCGCTACTTTTGAAGGATGGATCAAAATCAAATATCCCTCTAATTATGTAAAAGAAATAAGAGATGTGGGCAGAGGTAGCTTAGAATGTACTCAAAAAACCATTGGCCTCCTCAAAATGGTTGAAGCTTAAATGAAGTCCAAATCACACAAGCTTCAGTCTCCAAGGTCTTAGTGTCAAGTGTGATTTACCACATGGGTAATCTTCCTCTGGTAAGAGTTGCAAAGGTTCATGGTTCTCAAAATACATCGAGGCAATATAAAGTGTGTTAAGCTTTACTCACAATAGGAAAAGGTCGACAACTTTTGAACAATATATGGCCAGTGAAAAATTATGATGTAATTTATTTCAATGGGATAAAACACTAAGGAGTACACTGTTTATCTCAGAAGAGAAAAGGGAACCACCCAAATTTTAGAAAATAGAAAGTTGAAAAGGTCAACAGGTTTCTAATTTTGATACACACAAGTATCAATCCCATGTCATGGCTACAGCCAATGTATTAGATAATTTCAATTGCCTTACATACTGCAAGATTGTCGTCCTATGCAGCACACTGCATTCATCTAGAAATATCAAAGTGATGACTGGAGGTTATCACTTTGCCATCATTAAGTTTGGATAAAGCCAATAGAAAATAGAAAGGTTTTCTTGCTCATGATCAAATATTAAAATTACAGGTCAAACAGAAAAAACTTCGTTTTCTTCTTCCTTTAGGGTGGGAGGGAGGGGCGGGGGAAGGTTGCGAGAAGGAAGAGACTAGAGTAGAAAGAATAAATAATATCGAGATCAATAAGATAATGCAAAGGATAAGTAATAGGTTAATGCATATGTTGAAGGCAAATCATCTATAACACACAAGAAAGAAAACGGACAATGACAGTCACCTCAGTTCGATGTCTGTTTAAAAGTGTTGATATCCAATGCAATGCTTCAATCCTAGTAGCCTCGTGTTCACTAGATAGTTGTCTGATCAATCAATGAAGCAACAATCATGAAAATGTAATGAAAGCAGGAAGCTTACGTCAAATAAAAAATCAGCATGGCCTCAATGAGGCAGGAACACTACAATCCAAACGGTGTCATTGCAGAAAAAATTGTGAACACATTTTCTCCAAGGAAGATGTGTGGACGGAGGGGAAGGAAAGTGAAGGGGGGGAGCTGTACCTCCTAGCAATAGAAAGGATAGCACCTACATCAAATCCTTCGGATGGAGCTGCCTTGACATTGCGAAGTTCTTCATTGGTTTCCCGAGCAACCTTCAAACATAATGTAAGGAAATCAGTTACCTTAAATTCTCATAAAAACCATCAAGCCCCCTCACCGTGAGGTGTAAAATGGGAAGGGAACTCTATACTGCACCATAATATATCCAAAGAGGACTTAAAGAGAGCCTTTTGATTTCTCTTTAGGTCCTATATTAGCCTTCGTAATCATATGAAGTCAAAAGAATTAACCTTAGTGTTTAAATATTTATCTAAACTAGCCGGATACCAATCGTTAGAGCTATTTTAATTCACTCACTAAGATTTTATAATTGAAAACTCTACAAAGTTAATCATTTCAAAGTAACAAAGAATATAATAAATTTTTTTAATATTCATAAGTGTTTGGATCAGCTTTCGTACATTTTCACTATTCTCACAAGACAACTATCTGAACCTACTACATTTAGTTATTAAGGTAAGTTATAAGATACTAAATCGAAGATAAGTAGGTAGCCACCATCGCTTGAATCTGTTTCCTCTAACCCCTTTACTTTTTGCATGGCCTTTCTAGACGACTAGGCCTAAGTTAAAAATTAAAAAAATATAATTCTACAGTTTTCTTTTAAAAATTTTGTGTTTTTATTTTTAAATCAAAAGGAAAAAATTTTATAAAATTAAAATCCTATTCAATTTATCATTCAATTGAACCGTCACTTACAATTCATAGCATGAATGTTTACTTTAAAAAAAATTGTAGTATAAATATGAAATTGTACATGCATAAATGTAGAACTTTTTTTTAAAAAAAATAAACACGTAGAAAAAAAAATCAAATTTTAGAATGAAAATTATATTCTGACTAACAAATAATACTCAGCTCATAAATATTTCTTATTGTTAACTTAGTATCTCAAAAAAATAATTTTTAAAATATATGTTTAACAAAGTTAAATAAAATCACAATATGAAGATTTGTTGGAGAGAAAAATCTTTCTCGATGAAAGAAAAACTCTGATTAAATAAAATCACAATATGAAGATGAAATCAACGGCTCTGTTTTCTCATATATTTATACTTCTATGTAAATATTGATTTTCTTCTCAGTAAGCACAAATTTGTACTCCATATGATTTTTACATTCACTCATTCTCTTTGTAAATAAAAATTTTGTTGTGCAAGACAGTTTTTATACTATCCTCACCTTACCACCCCATTTAATATTAGTCAACCAATCATGTTTGTGCAAGAAAAAATTTATAGAAACTCATAAGTTCAACGTTGGTTGATGAGTCATCCTCTATAATATATCTCTAACATTTCATTGCAACAATCTTATATAAAAGATAATGAAAACCATACTATAAAAACTATAATTGATGGCTAAAACAGACATAAAAGCATAAATAACAGGATCAAATTACGTGCATTGTATGCGTCCATGGCAAGTAACAATAAAAAGGGGGAAGATAAATCTTACCACTCTAATCTTCTCTTCTTTGTCGGCTATGGAAGGTAGAATTGCTCCTAGAATATCTGCATAATAAGGTACTAGTTGATCTCCACCAAGTTTCACAAACTCGTTAATCTGCAAATACAAGAAAACTATAAATTTTTAAAAATAATGCACAATATAAAGAAATCTCTATCGGTTCTTGAGAGAATTAGGAAGGATCCCATAATAAAGTGAGAATGTGTCAAGTTTTGTTGAATCTTAGAGAAATTAAAATAATAAATGATGGATGGTCAAGTCCAAAGTACCCATACCCATATAATGGCTGTTAAGCGAGTAAATTCATCTGAAGAAGAAGCCCTCTGGACAAGAATCTCAACCATTCGGCCATAATCTACAGACTTCAAGAGTAGCACTGCTCGAGTCAGAAAATTATTAAATGAACAAATAAATTTTGAACATACAAGGGAAAAAAAATTGTAAAAATAGATGGTAATTATTAAATCAAGTTTTACATTTGCATGGTTTGCGCGTAATTCCTCGTTTTTAATGGGAAACAAGGAAATCAAATAAACATCAAGAGAGTAAAAGCGCAGCATAAAGGCCTTAGGGATGAGGAATCCCTAAGCCTAAAACGGAGTATAAAAAATGTTGTAGTTATCCCTAAGCCTAAATTTTTCTTGTGATTTTTCTGATTTTGCTGTTGGCCATACAAATTGTAATTATCAATAGTAAAAATGTGAAATTAATTTTCTTTTCATAAAAGAAGCCAAAAATCTTCAATCAAAACAAGAAAAATACAAAAGAAGAGACACCAACACCTAGAGCCAAAAAGCTTACAAAAACTAAAAGAACTCCCATCAGCGTAATAATGAAAATGCATCTGGTTGCAGAGTAATTATAAAAGAGTGCATCAATTTCAGGCTAAGTAACCTTACTGGAGAATTCTCGATCTCTTGGAGAAACTCAGAAAGAGCAGAATCAGCTTGTTGCCGGATTTCATGACTTGAATCGCTCAACATATTAAACAAGCCTGAGATTCATCACAGATTTGTAAATCGTAAACATTTAGCAGAAAAAACTTTATAGAAATATTGCTCTTCAAACCATTGACTCTACATTCAATAAATAAAAGAGAAGAAATTACATATTGAAAGAAATGTCATTAACAGAAGCAATCACCATCAAGAAAATCAGGAAGAAAACCCAGCATATCGATATCTGGCACACTATCAAGTACAGTGATCCATCCAACCAAAAACTGACGGACATATGGATTTAGGACATTCATACGCTCCCTCAGCAATGGAATAAACTCTTCGATGCTGTAGAAAGAAGATCGCCAGAAAAGAATATATAAACAAATACATCTTTGCAATACAATTTCAAACCAATGTGTCTTAAATGTAACCTTCAATAAAATAGTTAAACCATGCAGTTTGAGAAATAATGGCGTACCTGAACTGGTCACTTTCAGTAACGATATCCTGTTCCATTTAATTTATAAAATTAGTTAAAAACAAAGGGAAATTCCCGTTCAGACAAAGTGGATGTCAAAACAGAGAGAAAGGAAACAAGACATCTCTCTAAACTTTAGGGAGGGCCAATTTACATCAACGAGGTAGGCAGACTAAATACAATAGACCATATTCATACATGTAAAGCAGCCCAAAAGAGGGCATATGTTGTACAAGATCCAAAGATAAACTGCTTGTATTCTTCAAACATTGTGGTGTTCCACTCAGTCCATGGTGAATCAGAGAATGTCTGAAACATGGAATTCTTCCTCTTTCTTTCTTTCATTTTTTTTTTTTTGGGGGGG